GTATTATGTCATGCACTTGCGACCTGTCCAGGGTGTACCCAGCCCCTCGCATAGTGATTGATAGATATGGACACCATTGACCCTCGTGACCCTAGAAGGAAGAAACGGGTATAGATAATGGATGGATTATTTATTTTTACTTTATATTTAAAATTAGTACACATGACCCCTTCCCCAATTTAACTTCGTTAGAATCAGAAATATAACTCAAAATTAAATTTGAAATCAAATCCAGAAATCTGTGTATGCCTACTTATCTGATTAATGTTTAACCACAATTGAAATAAAACATACTTTTGGATTGGTGCAGGAGGTGTTTCTCTGGTTTATTATTAGACAGTACTTAACAGATAAAATAAGTAAAATCTATCTTTTTCACAGAAAATGTGCTGCAAATGGTAGCACTGAGATTGATTCAGGAAATTAATGTCAGCCCCACTAATATTTATGGTTATGAGCTGTTACTGGGCTGAGATGATTGATAAAATTACTTAATTCTCATTTATGTTGTAAACCCAGGTAACTGACCCCAAACGCAACACTCCTTGGATCATTCAGGCAAACAAACTCCAAACCAAGAGGTAGGCAGGGAGGACTGGCATAAGGGATTACTGGGAGATTTCCCTGGTGGGCCGCTGAGTTAGTGGGCTGTTGGGCTGGCAGTGGTTCAGCTTGTGGAGGTGCTGTCACACTCAGCCCTGTAGTCATGCAGCACGCTTTTGTTTTGAGGCACCATGATGCTCAAATGCCTTCTCTACCTCTCCTCCGCCCCAGGCTGCTCTGCTGCTCAGCGTGCAGCCGGGGAGTGGACCTGCAGGGAAAATCCTGTGAAAAATAAAGACTGAATCCCCCAATAAATAATTTCAGGAATTGCACCTTTGAGCAATATAAAGCAATACAAAGTTTCACCTATAAAGATGYCATCTTTATAGGCAAAACTTTGTATTAATGACTCTCAGAAATGATTTTCTCCCCTCTATCAGCCCAACAGTGGGTTGGTCTGCTGATATATTTCTATGCTTGAAGGTATATTTAATCAAAAGGAAAAACAGGTCTTGTTTGATCATTTCAGTAGCTCATAATTTATACTGAGATATCACAACAAACCAACACATTATTTTTGTTTGATTCAGTGGAATAATTTATTGGACATAATGGGCCTCATGCAAGAACATGTTCGTATTCTTATCCTAAATTTCTCTTACTTTTGTTCGTACAAAGGGTTCGTACGAACATGCCACGTCAGATTCAACAAACTCTTCTATCTTCAGGAAAAGTGTGTAAATGAGCTGCGTAAATTCCACCTGTTCTATCCAGCTGCTCGTGCACGCGAGAGGAGATTAGCATAATGACCACCTCAAAAACACCATATATGGCTATGTTTCCTGCCTCAGATACAAGGAAGTGTCCATTCATGAAAAATGACAGCGAAAACTAAAAAGAAGAACTTTACGAGTTCAGAGATTGAAGTCCGTCTGTCAGAGATCCAGAAAAGAAAATCTGTCATTTTTAGCAGGTCAGCTGTGGAATAAAAAGAGCTGCTAAAAGTATAAACAACTGTGTTAAATCATTTTCATTTATTCAGAAGCCACAGCGCTGTGCACCGTACCACCCCCCCACCCCGCGCGCGCGCGCTGCGCGGGCGCAGGTGGTCTCAGAGGCGGGTTTGAAATAAGCTTTTTAAAATGTTTTCAAAATAAGTCTGGCACTTTGCAGAAAATCCAGGACTTGATCATATATCCCCTCTGGCCTGGGAACGTCTTGAGTCCCCCAGGACGAGCTGGAAGGTGTCGCTGGGGAGAGGGGGTCTCTCTGCTGCTGCCACCGAGACCTGATCCCGGATAAGCGGCGGAAAACGGACGAACGGACAATTTATATTGTTAGTCTAAATTATTACATTTAAAATTATAACTCTAATTCAAGCAGAATAGCCTATTGTCAACATAATTATGGAGTGTGATTTATTTTCAACTCAAAATATCTTCAAACTAACGAAATATAAAGTTATTAGTGAAGAAAACCCGTCTGGATAGCAGCAGACTGACTGCTCGTAAAATATAGGACAGGTCTGGACCACTCGTGAATTTTGTTCGATCTGAAAAAAATCTTAGAATACGAAAACATTGGTGAATGACACAAATTCTCCTAAATCACTCGTACGCACAACTTAAGATCAAATCTGTGCGTACGAACGGTTCTTGCATGAGGCCCATTGTCTTCTTCTTATTGTCTTGCTACTTTGACTTTTAGGTCTTTAACCTGCACACATTTACAGTTTATAATATCTGAGAGCAAGCTGCTGTGCAACAGAAGATAACATAATATTATTTGCCACTGAAATTTCATGGTTTAAGTAGTTTTTGAATGTAGGCCTTAGGGTTGGGCATAATCGTATCGTGTGCAGTTAATCATCAGAAAAACATTAATCGATTACTTTTTGGCACTTGACGATTAACACAATTAATGCCACCATTCAATCTGCTCGGTGCTCTTCTCTGCTTCAAATATGACGAACAATAAAAATAAAGTTCTGTAATTTATTTATCTATCAACACAATTTAAAATTTGATGTATAGCCTGAAATCTGTAATTTTCACATAATTTGGAACAATTTCTTACAAAGAGCAAATTTTTCCCACTAAATTGGTCATGTGACTAGGACATAAGGGTGTCCAGGGTCTCCAGGGGATAAATCGTCAAATTAATCATTATCGGCTAAATACTACAATTAATTGTGATTTTTTTTTTTTTGCCAATATTGCCCAACCCTAGTAGGCCTGCACCTACCCTTCAAAAAAATGTGCATGTTCTTTCTGTCCAGTGCTGTTGTTTTGCCAAAAAAAAGTGCTTTAAGACAGTTTTCAAAATAAAATCTTGGTAAGGTTCAGCTGAGCAGTCTGGAGAAATAAACAGACTAGTTAAAATAAATGGACTTGTGGAAATAAACAAAAGAGGAAGTTTTTTATCGTTAGTGAAAGGAAAAGGAGCAACAAAGTTAGGAAGGTGGTCATTTGAGTCTTTTTGTTTTCCTTCCATCTCCCTGTTTTTGATGAACTGAGTCTGCAGCCTCCTTTCTAAAATCCCATTAGCTCTTAATGAAGTCGAGCTTCTAGCTTCTCGGCCTTGCCTCATTTAGCACGATTGTCTGGCGGCCATTAGCAAGGAGGCAATTACAGTTGCACGACAAGAGCAATTGGAAATGCCAACAGGGACCCTGAGAAATGGAAATAAATAAATAAATATAAAAAAAMCCTCCAGCTAATAAGCTTCCATTCAGATGGCATGGAGGGAGCCACATGTGGCTAAGTTAAATCAACATAATTACAATCAGGATTGGTGGGGTAAAGACCCCGGGTGAGAGAGAAATGGATATAGGTGGACTGGAAGATAATGGTTAAGCACAGAGGTAGTGACTGTGATGTGAGATCACACATGGAGCTTAGTAATGAAGAAAATCAAGTGTTACAGCAAAGTCACATCAGCCAAAGTTTGCTTCTGTAGCCAAACACATCCTGAAAATAATTAATTTCTTCTCAGTCGAGAGTAAAGAGTAATGTTTTTAATAAAGTTGGAAAACCTGAGCAGGAGGAAATAAAGTTTCTCATAGGGTTTGGCTGCTGTCTGCTGCAGAATCTATGTTAATGTAGCTGAACAAGTTATGTGCTGCACTAAAGGTCAGAAAACCTAGCCTAAAGTCAAAGATGAAGGAGAGACATTAATGTTTTTGTGTGTCTTTGTTTATCCCTGCTGTTAGCCAAATATTTCATGAAACACAGTACAGTTTTTTTTAACTTGCAGTAAGTAAACATTGGATGTACATGTACATGTGATTAACTACCAGAGTCATCCCAATTCAAGAAGGCTGCTACAACAAAGTAATGTTTTCAACCAAAAAATGTCCATAACGGTCAGTTTTACTCACGTTGAGTATTTTAGATTCTGAGTGCTAACTGATCACGCTATTTCTTCAAATCTTTACTAATAACAACTGAAATCAACTCTGTTGGTTAGAAAAAAACATTTCAGGAACACCTGGATGGATTTTTGATTAAACTTTCAGAAAGTAATTATTGGTTGTGCGTCTAAAACTGATTAACTTTTGGAGTCGACTCAATTCAAGGTAACAACAGCCAACTGACCGCGGAAAACCTAAATTGGCAATTGACCTTATTGTTTGTTTGAAACAGTCCACCCAAACTGTTTACAACAAATAGATTCTGTTCTTGAACCATTTTGAATACACGCAAAAGCTTGGTTTATTTAATAGTTAAAGTTTTGATCAAACAATGATTTAATTTCAGAGGCAGAGTGGCATTGGGCTTGGTGGAGAGGTAGTGCTGGGTGTCATCCACATAGCAGTGAAAGTGAATACCAAATTTTCTGAAAACGAGACCAAGTGGAAGAAGATAATTGATAAACAGCAGAGGACCAAGAACAGAACCCTGAGGTACACCTGGACAGCTGTGACTTGACATTTTTGAGTTGAACAAAGTGCTAACGGTCAGAAAGGTAGGATTTAAACCAATTTAAAATGGTGCTGGAAGAACAAATGGAATATAATCTGTCAGGGAAAATCTCGTGCGAAATGGTATCAAATGGTCAAGGAGTAGGAGAAACAATGAAAAGTCCAGAGTCTGCMGCAATCAGAAGATCATTGGTGATTTTAATCAAAGCTGCCCCGGTACTATGGAGGGGGTGGAAACCTGACTGAATTTCTTCAAACAGTTTATTAAAGGTTTTCACAAACAAGTATTCAGTTTTTGTTCATTAACATGTTCAGTATTCAGTTTTTATGTAGTGTTATTTGCCAAGACTTTTACATTGTAAAAGTAATTGTCTTCATAATTAATCAAATGTTTATCTGTAATTCTCCCAGTAACTCATGACTAACAGAAGTAGGATCCTAATACCAGCTAGCACCATACTGAGCAACATCTTTGTTTAAAATACTTTTGGAGTCAACCATATTTGTCTGTTCAAAAAATATTTCATAAATTACTGGACTGATTCAAATAAAAAAGCTGAACGTATTCTTTGTATGTACATTTACAACTGTTTAACTTTTGGAGTSAGCCTAATTCAAAACTGTAGCCATAGACAATCAATCTTTACCTAGTACTTCAGTGAATTGTACAGACAGAACTAAAATTTAGTATGCTGTTTACCTGCGAGTCACAACTCATTCTGAAAGTGCTAACAGATCATATGAAATCCTGCATTTCTTGAACGAATGCTAGGCCTTCACTTTTAACCTTTTTTTAAACAGACAAATACATAAAAAGTGCAAGGTTTTATTATAACATAAAAAGAAATGTGTTTAAATGTGATAATAAAAAAACGAATAAAACATTTAAAGCTTGAAAATTTTCTTTTTCCAGCGGGGCATAACATGAAAATAACATTATGTTTTTTAAAGTACAAACTACCAGCAAGTCAGAAGACTGCTTGAGGAATCTCAGAGGATGTTGAAACAACAGACTGTTGGTACTGTGTCATATTGCCATGGAATCTCAGCTNCCATTCCCACTGTTCCCCACCACCCCCTTATCCACTTCCTAAGCTGAATAACAGGTGGCAGAAACCTGATCAGCATGAGTCTTTGTAAAGGAAGCCCTCTCATTTAAGATGGGCTTGTTGCCCAATCACCCAAAGAGTGGCCGCTGAATAGATGCTTCTTTTGCTGAACTGTATGTGTGATGTGGGAAAAGGGGCTGTTTCAATGGACACAGATGAAGAGGAAGGTGGGGAGAAGAGGTATAATGCACATTTTGGCTAAGGTGCTGAGTGGGAAAACAGGAGATGGGCTCCTTTAATAGTCAGTGTGAGTGATGTAAAACAGCAGGGCATAGTGCCACTGCTGTCAACACTGACCTCCAGGATCTCACCTCCTGCTCTTAATGGGTCACACTTGTTGCCACTTCCCTTTCTGTGCTGCCATTCAGCTGATGTAGGTATTATTATTAGAGGCATGGATCTTCACTCTGCTCTTTGGCTCTGACTGGTATCTCACATTATGCCTCTGATCAACAAGAGAACTACAACCAAAAAACTCAATTCAAGATGGTTGTAAAGGTTATACCTACAGTAAAAAAAATTTTTCCTCTGCTGACTCTTCTTCATCCAACACAACACTGATCACTGAGTGATAAAAAACACAATATCCAGCCATCATTATTGCTCTTTATATACTTATATGAGCTGTGGGAGAATCTATGATAATTTATTGCCCGCGACATTTTCGGCCCRTTTAAACTCGCTCAGGAAAAAGACGTCTGAAATGATGCAATCACCAACTCGCTCTCTCGCGTCATGTTGAAGTATAATCCAAGCTTTAGGCTGATGGTTCTCTTTTACATGCTAACAGTTTTGATTGTCATCATTAACTTGTTTGTCCAGCATGCAAAAGCAATGCTTAAAAGGCAAAGTTTACCTGAAGTACCTCAGACTAAAGGAGAGACGAAACGTTTTTTCAACAAAGAACTCATCCAGAGGGCCTACTACTTTTTATTTTAGATGGGCAAAACATTGTTTTCAAGGTTTAAGATTGAGAAAACTGCAAGGTTGAAGATCTGGTGAACAGTTTCATTGCACAGACCAACCAAGAAGTTTTGGATTTCCCTCCTGAACCTGTTGCCTTTTTGACCTGACCATGGTTAAGCTGTAGAAGATGGATCATCAATGGAATGAGAAATGCTAATGAAAACAGCAACATGTGAGTCTTTCTTTCCTTTGGGGGAACTATCTATTATCATATTTATTTTACTGTTGTATTTAAGATTTACTTACTCCAAAATGCAAATAAATAAACAAAATAAAAATAAAAGAGCAGATCAGTGAATTATCCATCAATCAATCTATCATTAGAATGGACTGCCAACAGGAAATGAGCACCATAAGCCGGGTTCCAAAAAATCAGCTTGAGTGATTGAAATTATTGCTGCTTTTAATCAGATGAACTGAGTTGCAGCCAACATACATGTGGTGAACGTCTTACAATACGAAATCAATGGAATGGTCAGCAAACACTTTTTTGAAGAAAAACTGCCCAGCAACAACAACTGATAACTTACCTTAAGCTGGTCAAACTAGATCTTCAAATCTTTCATCAGGGCCTGTACAGACAGAAAAGAAAAATATTTCATCATATTCAATATTTGATCTTAATCTTCAAGTCATTAATGGTACCAATGCATGAACATTGAAGCACTGTTAACTATACTGTTCAAATGTTTTGTCCTGTATCTCATTGCACACATCTGAAATAAATCATGCAAATTAAACACCAAATTGTGTAGCTCAGTCATAAATGTGTGTGTTATGATTTTTAGCGGCAGTACATTGCCCATTGCCAGAAAAGAATTTCAACAAGAATTTGACAAAACACACGATAAAACTCAGTCCCCTGAAACTATAACTCAGACGTTCTTTACAGTAGAAACAATAAATAATAAATCAAAGTTTAAATGTTTCACAAACTTTTGACTTGAAGGTTCAAACTGCCACTTTCATAAATTTTGCTGTTTTTATGCAATCACAGCTTAGGCTTAATGGCTTTTTACAAAATCTTTACACAAAATGTCACAAATTTTGAGTTGTTTAAAATGTACATTCCTCTGAAATATGAGGTTATTCTGGGGCAAATAGGGAYAATCTTGTTGCTCGTGTCTGTTTGTACTGTTAGCAACATATAAACCAGTGGACAGCTTTGAATGAAACTCAGAAAGTAGCCATTGTATGAACATCTTCACYTGAACAACTAACACAAAAACAGAAAATAGTCACCGCAGCTCATTAGCCACGTGCAGCCGGTCCATAAGAGCACCTAAAATGAAATTATTATTTTCCCACAATGAAGTTCCTCCTAATAAACAATAAAGTTGCCCATTATGTAGCTTGTTGTGTGTTTTTTGTTCCCTGTGTTTGTCAACTATTCTGACAATTTTAAATAACATTTAAATTGAGTTTTAGTAATACATTATTAGTTTTTAATACTTATTTACAGTTGGGCTCTCAAGTCCACAACACACGATAAAACACACACAGACGCACACACGCCCTTTTTAACGAAGAACCAATGAGCAGCTCAACGTTTTCCTCACTGGATTGGTCCATTCGAATGAACTGCCCGCTTTGCCTAAAACATTCTTTTTTCTTCTTAACTAGTTTTTCTTCCGCTTTGGGAGTCCTGTATGCATGCAGAGCCGAGGGTCACTCCTGTCAATCCCACAGAACCAGTCCTGTWTGTGGTGCGTCATGAAAAGCAGCAGCAGATTGAGACAACTCCAGCTCAGACTGATCATTCCCACCAACTGYACACACACGGACGATACTTTTATAATCGTTTAAAAACAGAATGCCCTCTGTTCTCAAGGGGATGTAACACCACACACATGCAAATGACTCAAGCAGATAAAATCAGCACCAAAATATTAGTAAAATCAAATCTTAATAGCCTATATGCCACGGTCATTAATGACGTATTTCCRGTAAAATTTGTGCCACGCTCCTCCCTTCCACTCCCTGCTTATTGCCTATGTTTTTAGCAATAGCTGCTAGTACTAGTTCATGAAAAAGTCACAAAAGTTAAAGCATCAGTGATCTACTGGTATAAAACGCGAGTTCTGTTGTGTGCCATTGTGTCAACTAACCAGCAGGTACAATAGAGTAGTTAGTTTTTTTTCCATTTTCCTCTTGATGAGGAGGTGACAGCAGTGGATCATTGCATTATAGGGAAAACTTATCTTTAAAAGCTCACGCT